ATTACCACCCACCTCCAATGCGGACATTCTATTGGCTAGTCACACAATCTTCTGCTTTGTCGGGGAGGATTCCTAGATAATGCCTACATACGATGCCAGTCTACCACAGGTCAACAAACAGTTTGAGGACCTTTATGTTAGTCGTACACAAGTCCTAGGGAATTCAGTATCCATTCAGGGAAATTATACATGTCTTGGCTGGGATAAGTACGGTTGTATTGTGGTTGATGAAAAGTGTTTTGCGCAAAGGAAATAAAGACAAAATGTTATGTGGAACTTCTTTTCAGTTGATTAGACTTATTAAGGACAATGAAAACTGACGGTTGAAGTCACAATTTTGGATACCCTGATTCTATTAAAGTCGTTTTCCCTATGTTTGAGTAACTTGTCTGCATGTAAACTAGTTTGTGGCTAACTTCACATCACCAGTAATGTCCTGGATTTATTTATTTATTTATTCGATCATTCATTCTATTTGTGTCGTTTCTCATTTGTTCGTTCGCTCAGTCGGGTAGGCGTTTGATCGTTCGTTCTTTTGCTCTTCTGCTAGTTCTTCATTCGTTCGTTTGCTTCTTGGTTCATTGATATATCAATGGCTTTTTCTGTCCTTTTAGTTATTTGACATGGAGGTGACAGATGAGTTTGTAGAGTATGCCTCAGAAGGTTCCCTGGCCATTGAAGTCTGGGGAAACAGAATGAAAGGATTTGATTCACAGAGTAAAGTCATGCTGAACTGGAATGTGGAACCACAACAAAAAGGACTCCACGACAGGTATTGTTAAAGGTCAAGACACTAAAATTGGTGCAATTGCAAAGATTTTCCAAAAATGGCACTGGTTTATGAAGTGTTTGCTTTATTCTCTGATTGGTTAATGATATTCAGAAACTCAAAGATTTGACCATTGTACATGTAACACTTGTTTGTGAAGTCTCTGTGTTTTTTTTTTTGGATTGGAAAAGGGACTACCAAACTTGCTGAGAGCTCAGTTCTACCTAAATTATTTTGTTGAAATTTCCACTAGTTTTTCTTCCTGACTGGGATCGTTTTTCTTTCAGATGGTCTGAACTATTAAGGAAGATTCACGTGTGGGTTGAAATACTCGAAATCAATGACCAAGGTGTCTACTCACCAGTGGAACTTCATATTCAAAAAGACAATCAAACTGGTGGAGTGTTCCAGCTCCGCCAGGGACACTCCAGGAGAATTGTTGTGCGAGTTCAGCCGGTTCCAAGGGCGGGGTCACTTCCGGTAGTGTGTGACATCATTTCCGCTGTGTATATTGGAAGTGTTTGTATGAGGACCAAGAATCAGCAGCCCCTGGACAGCTACCAAGAAAAGGATCTATCAATGTAAGTCGTGGATCTAGATGTACCGTGGGAAATTCGACTCCGATGACGTAATGCTACAGAGAATCATATCACACCTCTGATTGATGTTTTGTCGGTTGCCATGTTATGCACTAAACCAACCAGGGAGCCTGTTACAAGGATTGTACCCTGAAATCACAGACATTTCTCTTAAAGGAGCTCAGTCGCGGTATTTTGAGTTATTTTGGCCGCATACAAAATTCCCTTTGAATTGAAGGAAACTTGAAAATAATATTTTACTAAGATAAAGAAAAACACCCAAGAGATTGCAATAAACCGTTAATCAAGACGGATGGTTAAGGATGGAGAAGATTGACGCAGATTACAAATGCAACTTTTCAAGATGTGCAAACTGTGTCGTAGCTCCTTTAAAGGGGATGTTGGGGTTTGAAAGAAAATTGAACGTGCTGGCATCTAGTTTATATATTGTATTTTTGTAACTATAGGGACAAATCTGCGTTTTGATCTAGTTATAATTCATCTTATTTTTCCTCCTGAAGAATGCGTGAAAAGTGGTCCAGTTCCTTGATGAAAAGGCGGGAGTACTTGGATGAACAGATCCACTCATTAATCGACAAACCAGGTAATGAAACATGTAGAGAAAAGCACAGCTAAGTCAGACTGTTTTGAGGAATTTGTTACCAGGGACCAAGTACCCTGTAGTATCCATATGTTGTTTGTTGTATCAAGTTAAAATTATTTTGAGTTTTCTCCGGATTCTAAGGCGAGACCATGTTTTTCAGTTTTCTGCACATTGCATTTCCATATCACTTACATTAGTGAATTTGAGAATTAGGGGGAAAAAAGACTACGCAGTTTTTAGCTTCATTGCATTTCACCTTTTTTTGCCTCATGTTTTCAATTTACTGATTCATAAGTGTTTCAGAAAGCAAACTACTTTACTTATTACTTACTTATTTATTGCCTAGTTCAAACAAAACCATCAGAAAGTTCGCCAAATAACGAAGTGTCAAGACGCTGTCAACAGATTTATGCGAACTTTGTCAAGACATAGACATAGATAAAGCAATTTTTTTTTCTTGGACAATTCTGTCCAAGGTTGGAAGGCACAATGTGGTTAACCCTATGTGAAGCACTAACCCGTGAGACAAGGCCAGACACAACACCGGAATTCCGTGCCCTACTCTTTGCGATAAGTGCTAACCGTGTAACACTGAAGATGCAGGAGACAGGGCCTACGGTTTATAGTCCTTATCCAAGAAGACTTGAACGTCTAACCATTTCCAGATGTAATTACAAACTAAGGTAGCACATTCTCCTCAAGCGGCCGCAGTGTAACATTTTGAATTCTGCTTGTCTTGCAGACAAGTCAGCAAGTGATAAAGAGCGTGAGAGCTGGATGATAGACCAGTGGGTTTGCCTCACAGAGGAGAGGAATGCTGTTCTTGTGCCACAGCATGGCAGCGGAATTCCTGGTGCTCCACCGCTTGAAGGGTAGGATTTGTGAATGCCTTGAGAATTGAGGACATGATTGATCTTTCATATCTTCACTTGTGCCTTGAGAATTGCCGTATTAAATTGTGTGGTTGAGTTTGTTTTTTCCTGCTTTGCTTCAAGGGTTTTTCTCTGGTTTCTCCGGTTTTCCTCCCTCCATGAAAACCAGCTAAAGCTGATGTGGCTTCCACTCAAAATGTTGTATTTTTTTATCATAAGTATTGTCATAGTTATTTAATAGCTTTCTTGACGGAGCATTCTTCGGGGTAAGAAGCTGAGAAAAATCTAGGAATTCCTTCTTACTATCGTTTTCTTACTTTTTTGAATTTATTATTATTATTATTTTTAACAGGACTGTGCCTCTGGGAATGGAAAGGTTTAATCCTGTTTTATTCCTGGATTTGAATGGTAAGCATACAGGTAGTTGCCATTGATCCATAAAAAGTCAGCTTTCTTCTCAGTATCTTGAAAAATCAGGAAACAGGCAACTTCACTGGGCTGAAAGTCTGTAAGGGACAGAGACAGGGGACACAGAACAGATAGGCCATTTCCAGGTTACCTTTTGCCTATGTCAAAACGATTCTTTGTGCGAAACCATTTACTTAAAAATGTGTTCCTGACAGGTTCATCTTCGTGCAAATCAAACTCATTTGCTTAAGAAAGGTTTTGCACGTAGACTCGTTTTGAAACAGAGGCGCAAGGCAACTCAGAAGTGGCCTTATTGAGCAACCATCTCGGGTTTGGTTTGTGTCCTTTAGGCGTCACTTTAGGCTGAATGTTATTTTTTTGTCAAAGTTAGGCTCAAGTCCGTAATTTTATATTAAGGTCGCTTAGGGTTTGGAGCAGGAGTATTGTCAATAAGCGCTATGTTATATGGTCAAGGAGGTTGTACGTTACAAGAATCGAAACTGTTGGTCATGTAACCGTCATGAAAAGCCATCAAATGTGAAAATTGCTTCCTGACACGGAAAAGTCATAGGATATTTGTATACCTCTACGCAAGTCATAGAATTTGGTTTTGTTGATAATGAACATCTTGCCACTTGAAAAGATGGATAGAATTTATAGGTTATGGAAGCAGGCATGGCGCAGTGGTTATGGCGCTCGTCTCCCACCGATGTGGCACAAAACAAGCTGAGGCATTGTTAGTAATTTAATGTTTGTTTACACAGACGTGAGGAGTGGTTGCATAGAAGAGGGAGGGCCAGCTGGTGTAGACTCTACCCTGACATTCGAAAACTCTGACAACATGATGGNGACAGAGACAAGGGGACACAGAACAAATAGGCCATTTCCAGGTTACCTTTTGCCTGTGTCAAAACGATTCTTTGCGCGAAATCATTTACTTAAAAATGTGTTCCTGACAGGTTCATCTTCATGCAAATCAAAACCATTTGCTTAAGCAAGGTTTTGCACATAGACTCGTTTTGAAACAGAGGCACAAGGCAACTCAGAAATGGCCTTATTGAGCAACCATCTCGGGTTTGGTTTGTGTCCTTTAGGCGTCACTTTAGGCTGAATGTTATTTTCTTGTCAAAGCTAGGCTCAAGTCCGTAATTTTATATTAAGGTCGCTTAGGGTTTGGAGTAGGAGTATTGTCAATAAGCGCTATGTTATATGGTCAAGAAGGTTGTGCGTTACGAGAATCGAAACTGTTGGTCATGTAACCATCATGAAAAGTCATCAAATGTGAAAATTGCTTCCTGACACGGAAAAGTCATAGGATATTTGTATACCTCTGCGCAAGTCATAGAATTTGGTTTTGTTGATAATGAACATCTTGCCACTTAAAAAGATGGATAGAATTTATAGGTTATGGGAGCAGGCATGGCGCAGTGGTTATGGCGCTAGTCTCCCACCGATGTGGCACAAAACAAGCTGAGGCATTGTTAGTAATTTAATGTTTGTTTACGCAGACGTGAGGAGTGGCTGCATAGAAGAGGGAGGGCCAGCTGGTGTAGACTCTACCCTGACATTCGAAAACTCTGACAACATGATGGAACTACCGATCATAAACTACGATCAAAAACAGGTATGAAATAGACCATTGCTGGGTAGCCTTTTGTCTCTCTGTCAAAACGATGTCTCTTTGCAAAGCAATTCAGCGCAAAAATGTGTTTTGTTTGTACGTTCATTTTCATCTGGAATGTTCTACACGAGGACTTGTATTTAAACGCGGCAGAAGGCAACTGGAAAATGTCCTGTCACGGTATTTTGAGTTATTTTGGCCACGTACAAAATTACCTTTAAATTGAAGGAAACCTAAAAATAGTGGTTTACTAAGATAGAAAAATACCAAAGAGATAATAATAAACCATAAAGGAACAAGGATTGTAAAGGATGGAGAAGATTAACACGGATTGCAAACGACGAACTTGAAGAATTTAGGCGAAGCATTTCAAGATGCGCAAGCCGTGAGGTAGCTTTTTGAATAACCATGTCGAAATTGAACATAGGGAGCCAGAGAGTAATCTTCTTTGTAAGGCCAACAGAGAGATGTTCATCTCCAAGATATGGGACTACCCCAAGGGCTGACACGAACCGTTACTCAGTCGCATGCCTTCCCCATAGAAGGTGAAAATAAGGTCGGGAAAAATCTCAGATACTTAACACCCAGATAATATATTACACGTGATCCCATATTATGTTGGTAAATATGTGTTTTATTGACCTGTAGGTCTCTGCTACCGTGTTATGGGACTCGTCCATTCACGACTCGGTGTTCCTCAATCGTGTCACGCAGTCGTACGAGCGTGTCTATCTCATTTTAAAGGTAAAGACATTGCTGAAGTTTTTCTGCCACTACAAATAATCCTGCATGCATTGTACATCTATTTCGAAAATTCTGTTGACATCCTGTGGGTTTATTTTACTGTGAAACCTACCGAAGAAGGGATTTTGCCACACCGGGACCTGCACCAAAACCTTTCACAGGAAAATGACTTTGAAGTGAACTTGATTAAAACTAATTTTATGGTGAAACCTTTAGCACTAAGCCTTTTCCGAAGGAATGGTTACTACAACTGCAAAATATTTTTCTCATGGGTTTCTTTAGCTTGGACAATCGTAATAAGCCACGATGGGCTGGGATTGATGTAGTAACTTCTAAAGAACAATGTCGTGGCATACCCAATATTTCTGCCGTGTTTTAAATTACCTGAAATCAAAGCCTGAGCACTTAAGTTTGGGAGAAAAATACTACAGAAGTGATGGTGAACCAAAAGGAAACGGCGTTGAAAACTTGAAAATTTTGAGCAATTGTTTTGAAGGTGCATCATCGGTGGTGGAAGTCCGTTAATCGTCGTGTTTTTCTTCATTGCAGGTTATTGTTCGTCTTGCTAGCCCAATAGCCATGGACCTTGTCCTCCGGAAACGAATTTCAGTCAAAGTATACAAGAAACAAAGCTGGAAAGACAGTCTATTACGAAAAATTGCAAAGGTATTCACTTAACACATGTCAAAAGTCCAGCAACAGTTTTTATTGCACAGTAGTTCTTAAGCTAGAGAACAGATTTGACACAACGGTTAGCAATTTGGGGATCTCGTGGTACTCTAAAGTCATTTACTTTGTTTATCACTGTCAGAACTATCACGAAACTGAATCTGGAACACAGAGATAAATTTAAAATAGAGATTCAAAAAAA